GTACTCACATTCAATGTACTGCTGTAGCTGGATAAAGTCGACAGGGCTCAGTTCCTTCACCTCTGGGTTTGTGGGGGTGGACATGGTGCCTGCTTCTGCACTAACTGCCTGCCTGTGCATAGGCGAGAGAAACAGTGAGACATAGACGGAGAAAAAAGAGAAGGTGGGTGCACAGTAGCCTGCCTCTTTGTAAAACATGAAAGCATGGCTGCAAGCAAAAGATAGCATCTTCCAACTTGCACTGTAAAAATCCATGATTGTAGACAGGGAGATTTACACTCAACATCCAAAGTTTGAGTGAAGCAGAGGCAGAAGTCAGTATCTGTAAGAGGATATGTAGAAGATATGTGCAGAACATCTGCAGTGCATCTGTTTTTAACATTCTGGTGAACATATAAAATAAGGTTTTTATGGGTAACCACCATTACATTTAACTGTGGTCCATGTTCATAAACCCACAGTCTTTATTTCCTTGTATGATGCTCTGAAATTAACATAAACTATTTTGTGTACTCATGACTATATACTGTATTTATTTTACGTTTCTCACCAGTAACATGCAACTAGCCACCTAAAACTGGGCCAAAGTCTAGTGCTTGAATTATTTCAGGCTAAAGGTACCCATGGTACTTCGGCTCTAGGGATTTTCTGCACCCACTGTCTCTTTCCATATACTCACTGGCCCACATTCGATTTATAGAATACCAGAAATACGGAGTGTTTGGTTTAGTTTAGCCCAAAAAAGTACAAGGAAGTATTGTACTAAAATACAGAGATAAACAATAACATCTTGTGGACAGGTCGAAAAAAAACAAACTGGCTTGTTAAGGGACATCCCCTCCAAACAAAAGGAAGAGACCTAAATGTCAAACAAGACTAAAAGCGAGCATGAAATTTGAATCTGACACAGAAAATGTGGTTGCAATCGCAATGAACAATGGCCTAGCACGTCGTTCTAAAGTCGGAGGCATGAAGTCTGGATAAACATTTGGAGGGTTTCCTATGAATACTTTCATCAGAAGAAACACATGCTGTTGAAACATAATGGTAGAAGATTCCCTGATGACAGGAAAACAAGCAAACAAATGTGTAGTTCATTAATCATTAAAAAAAGAGAAGGAACTAGTTAATGGAGTGGAGAAAATCGTCATCCTGACATCCTGTTGCTGTTGCAGATGCATGCCGATAAGATGTTGCAGTAACAAATATAGGTACAGATCAATACGGAGTTTAAAGAATGCATAATGCAGATGCTGATAATCAATATGGAAGGCAATTACAATCTGTTAGCCAAGATCTTTCCAGGCAGTCTGTCATAATAAGCACCAATAAATAGCATAGATGCTTTTCTGATTCACTGATGCATTCCTTTCTTGGTAAGAGGAGTGTTTAATAGAATATTTATGTTAAAGCAGGACTGTAATATTTTTAAAGATAACACATTTACAAACAGAATTCTGACTTACGAAGAAATAAAATGCACTCTTACTCTATTTAATTTACTCTCAAGGGTTTTGTTGCTACAGTCTTACTCGGTCTGATATGACCAGTAGCTTATGGTGGCTAATGTTTGTTAATGTTAGCAGACTTTAGATAGATGTCGCTGTGTTACGGACATTACTGAGTCAGTTGACTGACTTTATGACTCTTCTCTACTTGTTACACCTCTACCTTTTACACTATGTTTTACAATTAACCCCTATTCATCACTTATTAAGCAAACGTTATATAGTCTATAGGCTTTGAACAACACTGATTTTACATGATTTCTCTCACAAATACTTAACATAGCTCTTGACATTTGAAGCCTGAGTTGTGTTATCCATCACAGCAAACTGCATTAGGCTCTGTCTAAATTACATTATCATTATGGGGTAATGCAGTTAAGGCTCTAAATCAATCTGCACTTCACCTGCATTACCATGCACTCATTATGGCTCTTTAAAAACAATAAATACAGCTTTTTCACCACTCTGTGGGAGTACACAAATCAAGAAAGTTTAAATAGTCTGCTAATTGATTTTAATACTGTATGGAATTTAATGGCGACAGAAGGCTGGAACATAAAGCAGGAAAGGCAGATTGAGAATGAGAAACTTAACAGCATGTACTGGAAAACGGTCAGTAGTAATGGTGTGTACTTAAGGGGAGAAAAAAAACTGGTATGGTCCTTAAAGAGCAGCCTTCTGGCTTAAAATCAAGTATCTAGTAGCAATTCTGGTAATTCCCCACTTAATGTGATTGTTACTAAGGATATTACGAGGGGGAAAAGTTTAAAATAGAATGAGTTAAATATAATAAATATGGTGTAGCAGTTTTGAATTGTTAAATGCACACGGGCCACTAAATAAGTAAATATCATATCATGTCTGATATCAACAGCGTTCTATCATCACTTACACAAATACAAGACCAGATAAAATACTGTGTGGTGGTTTTCAGTCCAGGTTGATGAATAGGACCTCACTGTAATTGTGTTGTTCACACTGTTGTTCACAGGTGTTATCACACATTAAAGTGCAGCCAACGCAGATATCAGTGACGGCTGCCTGCACTGAACAGAAAATCTGAGTACTTAAGGGACAAAGAACGCACTGAGAAAAAGAAATGAAATATACTGAAAAAAAAAAAAAAACCCACCCACTCTTTACATGTGATATGAATCCATTTGCTGTCACTGGACTAGGTTCACACTGTCCTCTGTTAATTCCCTAAAAAGGTCAGTAGCTTGGCTTAGTGCTTGTTTATGCAGCCGATCAGATGGGCCAGGTCTGCATCGACACTGAAGTGACACATGAAGGAATCACGAAACACCATCTGCTACTGATCACCTGATTACAGCCCAAAACTGTTTATTCTAAAAATATGCTCCTGACTCCATCTTCAAACACTGTCTTATAAATAAACCAAAAATAGGCATCAAGCACACCTCTTGTTTTAGCTGACTCCTGGCTGTTGTTTTTTTCCTTTCCTGTTGTTATGCTTTCCAGAGGAGTGTGATGTCATGAGCAGCATCGTCTATTTTGTCTCCTTACCGACCCGAGTGTCATCATTATTGTCTGCTTCGACGAGATCTCAAGCCTATCTGAGTAATCTGATTCCTCACTTCCTGATTAGATAATGATTTGCATGCACAACGTGGAGTAGGAATCAGGATCAGTAAGAACATGAAGCACAGGAAGAGGCATTTCCAGCACTTAGAGGAGAAGATATAAATAATAAGTGCAATATGTACAGAGTACAGTTGTCTCCACGTGGGATGTGGAGACAACTGGATTTGAAAAAACAACAAAATAAATGAGCTTACTGAAGCAAGTATAAATATTTCAGGAGGTTTGAGGAATGTCAAATGCTTGTTAGGACTTATTATAGACCATGTGACCAACCGCTTTCTGGGCTGGCTCTCAATAAGGTTACACTGTTAAAGTAAAATGCTACATGCTTTACGAGGGAACATGTTTATGTTGCTTTATAGAAACATTTATGTGATGGATAGACACTCTGTTGTGTAGACATGAGAAAGATTTAAACGTGAGCTAACAGGAGTCACATCGCCATCATTCAGTGTGATTTACTTTGGTTTGCTCTACTGACAGACTGTCTGAGGTATAATTTTGTTTGAACAAAATGTCGCTCCATATAATCAGTACAGAATAAATGGTGCAGCACATGTTCTGAGCCGATATGCACAAGAACTACAGCGGCCTTGCTCTGTGCGGGGCCACTAGTGGTTCTTCAAATAGCAGTAAAGAACAATTTAAATGTTAAAGTGGTTCTTCAAGTAGCAACGGCTTGTGAAAGCAACATCTACACCCCCGTAAGCCACTAAAAAACCGTCTGTTTAGAGCCTGACACAAGCCTTTTACTTCTGACCACTCAACTGAAAAACACCAAAGCAACAGCTTTATAATAACTCACACAGTGAAATAATTGGGGGATTGGCGTGAACAATAGAGTTGGCATTTTCAGTCACACATGCCAGGCATTTCATTACGAACCCTCAACTTCTCGATGAAAACGTGTCCATAACCATAAAGCACTCTCTTTACGATTTCACTCGGGGATGACCTTTTTCCATACAGGCTAATGTTTGTGCAAGCTGTCATAACGCCCACGCCCTGTGTCAAGGAAATCTGCTGTTTTGCAACACTTGCAGAGTGCAAGCCATAGACTCCGTCATTCTGTGGTTGGAAAACACTGCGTAGGTTCTCTGTGAAGTGAAGTCTACATCTAATGTTGGGCCATTTGTTTTCCTCCTGAAACTACAACAATTCTCTACACTGAAGTGTGTACGGATTGCATCAGGTTAACAGAAGAGAGAGGACGGACATGCTTGGTTGCTATGGAAAGTGTTTCCCTCCATCAGCTGCTCTCCGTCAGAGTGCTGCCACGGGTGACTAACAGGTAGGAGGAGGCACAGGCAGAGAGGGAGCAGCTCAGCTCAGGGAAAGGGGGAGCCCAGTCCGTCGCTGTGAGTCTTCCCCCCCTCGCCTCTCCACCTCCTCCCACGCCAGGAGCCTCGTTTGACCTTCAAAGACAGGGGCCACGCTCTAAATTGCATTCTACATGCAGATGCTACTGTGACTCATTGCATGAACAGGGGAATACTCCCTTACTATAAATGGACTGTTTGCTGAAGAGGTCATTTCGCAGGCCGAGCAAGAAGTTACAAAACAGCAGTAATATTTTACAAAAAGCCACTTCTTCACATTTATGTATCCCTAGAGCTGCAGCTCCTAACCACTACTTCCTCTGTTTGTTTGACATCTTTACTTTAGTTCAGTATAGTAGATATTACTCTACTGGCAAATGTGTGGTAGACAAAACCATCCAGGTTGTTATGCATGTTCCTGGATAGGTGGATTCTTTAGAAAAATACAGATCTGGCTAGTGTAAGATTGAAATAATGAAAATAAAAAAGCAGGATCAAAAGTAATAAGTAAAAGGCAAGCTCACAACTGGACATGGTGTCTAAAAAGGGGCTTCCCCTCGTGCTGTATGTTAACATTAAAAAAATTGAGTGATATGCAAACTACAACAGGATCCAGTTAGTAGAGATACTAGGGGAACTTGAACACAATAAACATGGATTACAAATCAGACAAAAAAACACGAGAGAGAAAAAAAAAAAACACCCAAAAGGCATTCACCACAACATGAATCACAGATTTCTTGAAAATGTAGGCGAGGCACTGCTCTCTCCGCAGCTTCAAAGTGAGGACTGCCCATCACTCGGAGTTCAGACTTGAATGTGACTTACATAATAGTTTTTTTCATGTGGAGGCAACCTTGTAGAACACCACGCCACCACACAGAGGAAAAAAAAAACCCTCAAACCTGCCCAGACTTGTGAGGGTACAAGCTGTCATACAACAGCCACATGGCTTTATGATGAGTTTGGCGTATCAAGGAGTCTCGCCTGGTTCGCCCCCACAGATCTGTCCGAGACTGAAAATGAAATAACATTTTTAAATCATTCAATCTGAAACTCACTGACGTAGTATTCTCCACTATCGTCTCAGTAATTCAGAGATCCGGGATCTTCACAAAGAAGATTGTGTTTGCTCCAGTGAATCACCTTCTAACTATGAATAGATGAGCTCAAGAGAGAGAGGAGTGATGCGATAAGTTACAGCATTTGAGAATTCAAAAGGCCAATTCTAATCCCTCGTATGACGTGAGAAGAAAATACTGAATAACCAGTATGACAGTTTATTTATAAGAACCAAAGGGGTTAAAAACCACAGCCATTAATATAGGATTCAGGCAGACTCAGTGTGATGATAATGAAGGAAGTGAAGGCTAAATGGAAAAGACAAATACTGTATTTAGAGAAGTGAAATAGCCTGTAAACAAAAGGCATTCGTGCCATTTCTCTGATCGGTCTAGCGACGCCACATAGCAGAACACTTATAAACAAAACAAAAAATGGGCTTATTTCTAGTTCATTTACAGCCTCTAGCCTCTGATGTAAACATTAACAACGGGACAATTGACCTGACTACAGCATTGATTGCCTGCGCCTGAAAACTCTCTTGCAGCTAGAAACTGATGAATACCACTGGGACTCAAAATACCTGCTCGTAATGAGCACACAGTTCAACCAGGAAAGAGCCACCTGGAAATAAAGTTGCTCATGCAGGCAAAAAAGGGGAAAAAACCATGTTATGCTATATGTTGTTATGGCTTTTCAGTAGGTTTTGCATGAGGGCTGAATGTCACATTCACTATTTGCAGTCCAACACAGTGAAAGGGGTAAAAAAATAAAGACCACACAGCAGTGACAGCATCATCCACTTCACACACAGTGAAAACCCTCCACTATAAAACTGTACTGGTGACATATCGAGTTGTAGCATGTGTTGGGAGGATTAAATAAAACATATAGTGGAGCTCTTTGCGCCGGAGTATCTGCAGACATGACAGCTCAGATACTTCAGACACCCCTGAAAGCTCAACCAGCCTCGACTCTGACAGATGAATTGCTCAATTCTCTAAATAGACTGAGAGAAGGGTTCTCCCACGGGTAACTCAAGTAGCTTGACATTAACAATCATGAAACACGGCAAAAGGGAACTGAAATGATGCGTTTATGAGGTATAAAAAGAAGAGGCAGCGGGCCGTGCATGAAAATGCGATAGATCTGCCCTGCTGGTTGTTGTTCGGCTGAGTGAATTACTCTGTTATTAACACACTTCTTTTTCTCTTTTCTTTAAAAATCCCATGCACGGAGCTGTTTACCGGATGCACCTCCTTGGATTTCACATAAAATCCATAAAAAAATCCACAATAACAGGCTCAAAGGATCGCCCCGTATTTTCACTGTCGTTTATCTGCAGCTAAACGGAGCTGCATTTAAACTTCCATCAGTACGCCGAGTCCGGACCTTCTCACTGTTTGTTTGTTTGTTTGTTTTAGAGATTACTCTACCTTTCTGTGGCCAGCCTCCGTTGTCGAGCCAGTCGTCGCGGTGCAAAAGCTCTGCAGCCAAAAAAAAAGTCAAAACGCTGCCTTTCGGATGCGAAGCGAAGTGGCCGTTAACTTTAACGGAGGGCTGCAGGTCGGTGGGTCGGTCGGTCGGTGTGGAAGCAGGGAACAAATGCACAGCAGAGAGAGAGAAAGAGAGAGAGAGAGAGAGAGAGAGAGGGAGACTGTGAGAGAGCGGATCCCTCCTGTCAAGCACCGCCTCAGCTGCTCTCTGCGCCCTCTCTGCTAACCAATACACACCCGTCACACCGGCGTGCATCCATCTGCAAAGTTGAGAAAGTCGTGTTTTCGTTGCATTTGCGCAGCTGTAACGCGTGGCAGTGGAAATAACATGCATTATATACATATATGTATATATATATATGTATGTATATAATGTTACACCAAGCATTTTATGACACAAACTGATGCTCCATTGCGCATGTGGAGTCTTGGTTGCAGCACTAGGCTACACACAAAAAAAAAATAACTTTCTGGCGCCACCATATACAGTCCCACAAATTAGTACTACACTTACTTCTCTCTGAGGGTTTTGATAAAAAAATATTTAAAAAAATAAATCTCTCAAAGACAAACAATGTTAGCGACCCAACCTGGCAGAGGACACTTCACTCTTTCCACCGATATGTTTATATTATTATAATATTTAAGTTTTTATAGCTAGCAGCTATTATTAGTGACCAAAACATTATTATATATATATTATATATTATATATTATTATATATTAGCTGAGTAGCTGACCACATTAATTTGTTAACGTAATGACTCGGCTGTTTTTTTCACCAGGAGTTCAACCGCTAACGTTTCATAAATGTCGTTGCTATGGCTACCAGCGGTTTGACGCGCGTTGCGCAGTGATTTAGAACGCGGTGATTGGAGGGAATGAGTTTAACGGTCACCGGCAGCCAATCAGAAGCGAGTATTGGGCAGCGGTGGAATAACAAAGTACGGTTACTAAAATAGTGCGCTGAAGTACAAATCTGAAGTACTTGTACTTTACTTGAATATTTCCATTTCATGCCACATCAAAAAATTAATTTGACAGCTATAGCTGCTATTTCACTAATTAAATAATAAAATAAATAAAATAAAATCCCACAGTGACCGTTATGCTTCTGTTTAGAAGTTTAATATTTAATTAAGAAGCATTTTCAATGCAGGACTACTTGTAAGAGAGCATTTTTACAGTGCGGCCTTGCTACTTTGACATCATCCAGTATTTGTGTTGTAGCCTACATTTTGTGCTACTACTACTACTAAGTAAAGGATCTGATTTCTTCCTCCACCACTGCATTCATATTTATGCTGTACATTTTATATGAATGTGTTGCTTGTAGAAATGTTTTGAGGTCCTTGAAACATATTCCGTAACTTATTCTGTGGTGTACCATGTTTCTAAGTATGGGGCCTTCTGTACGCCGTGTAGCACCAACCACATCTCATAATAATGTGTGTGGACAACAACAGAGCCACAGTATTTGGTAAAGCACATGATTTCACATTCCAGTGACCACAATGGTGAGGGATTAGGCTCCACAATGAGGACAAGGCTGGCAAGAGAGGATAACAGACATGGAAAGCATGTGGGTGTCTGGGTTAGACAGAGAAAGGAGTTTGAGTCAGGTCAAAGCAGTCAGACCTTCCTCCCTCTGATCTTTGTGGTTAAACTTTCCTCTCCATATTCTTAACCTGGATCAACAAGCACTTCACATGCCACATCGCCTCCTCACTGCCCTGATTTCTTTAAAAGCAGCAATCATTTTCTCCAGATTGAAGTTTTTACATAATGCTTTAAGCTGATGTGCCCTTAAGAACTGTACCTCCCTGCAGATCTCTGATGACATGGTGTGGTAAAATTAGGAACTGCATTTTTTCCTAATTAAAATGCTAAATATAAAATCTTGTTATCCCAACGAGAGAATACATTCTTCTAGGATAAAGTTTGACATTTTTTATTACTTTCTTGTCTGTACAGCACAGTACATAACAGACACAAAACAAATAAAAACATTAACAGGGAAAATAATAAAGGGCACAATCCGAACTCATCTGTTTACCGCACTTGTGTAGGCTTTTTATAGCGGATGTCTGAAGTCTCGTTTGTCTTACTACAGCAATAAGTGACTAATGGTGAAACATTTTACCTCTCAAAAGCCGTATCTGTGACTTTACAAATATTTTTTACAATCTCCAAGCTATGGGTTTTTAGTGACATGTCAGTGAACAGACGGTTGCTAACTGTGAAGAATGAGAAGATCAATGTCTATACTTCAATTATCAGAAAAAAGACATATGGATCACCTAAAATATCAAGAGACCCATTATGATTTGTCAAATTAAAACTCATTATACATAGTTAATTCCCAAATGTTGAACTTCAAATTTAACACTTAAACTGGACCCAACATTCAGACTATATATACAACTGAGGCAACAAAGAAAACACAAAATCGATTTTCTTCCTGCAATAAACTTCAAATGCACCAAAAAAGGCAGATTTCCATACATCGAATGGTAACATCTTCAAGCATTTTTGTGTAAAAGGCAACACAATAAATAAAACAAATGGCACAGAAGGTTTAGACAATCTAAACTGAGAAGCACAATGTCTTGTGAAATATTCACAGGAAACTAAACGCTAAAGCAAGCACGTGAAAAAATCTTCCGAGCCAACGTCCCTGCAGACAGTAACACAGGCCGACAAAACAGAAACGAGATAAACAAAAATCACAATCTAATTACAGTGAGAGGAATAAGAGAATGACATTTATAATTCAATATAGTATTTGTATTTACAAGCATTTTTACAACTGCGGACATTAAACATGGGGTTCAAGCTTATTACTATATTAGGACATGGAGCAGAACAATCAGATCATATAATGCACCAAATATAAACCTTGTAAACATCACATCTCACCTTTTATCTTAGATATCAGTCAGATTAAGTTTCTATTCGACAGGTTCATAATATATTTGTCCTTACTTTAAGGCATAGGTATCAAGCTTAGGAGTGAGCCTGTTATAGGATTTTATTTTAAATAAGCCAGATTTTTCAGGGAGGTTTCACTCCAACAAGGAAAAACCTACTCGTCACAGCAAACCCCCAAGCAAAACGTCCCCACTTGTCTCTGAATCAGCAAGCCGTACAGTTATAAGATCTCCTCCACTCCGTGCGCAAAGATCATGACCAGGCCGGGCTCCAGGATCATATCCTCCCCCATATGCTGATTCTCACAGGCCATCACCACCACTGCCTGCTTGCCAGGAATACGCTTGGCAACATAGTTCTCATAGTAGCGCCTGTTCATCTGCCGTGTCTCGAGCGTGGCTAGTCCCTGCGGCCAGTTACGCTCGTGGGCGTTCTCGATCAGGTCATTCACAATTGAGAGAGGACAGCCGCTGTCGATGAGGGAGCGTTTGATGACTGCCTGGAGCACGGCGTCGGGCGTGGAGATCATGCCACCCCAGCGTGTCACTCTAGCGGGCTGCATGGAGTTCACCCACCTGAAGAGAAGATAAACCACAAAAAATAAGAGCCACAGCTGCATCTCCCTGATAAAGTTTATATTATTTTAAATTAGAATACAAAGTACGGGAGATAATGGAATTTCACTTACTCCAAGATCTCATTGTACTCGATGCTCTCTTCAAGGTTTTGCAGGTTAGGGTTAGCACTGCGAATTGCTCTCATGTAGGCTTTTAGCAGCTGAACGTCACGTTTCTGGAAATTAAACGCATCATTCAGAGACTGATTTCACAAAATCTCCTAAAAGTAAGGAATTTATTTCAATTAACTTAGCCTAGTGGCTGCTTTAAGAGGCTGCATGGATCAGAATGTGAGATATTTTCGTCAATTTTCTTCAATTTCTTTCTTTCCCTTCACTCACTTTTATTAGATTTTCCTCAGTTGAATAAGTTTTGTCAGATTCCAATAGATTTCAAGCCAGCTGTTAAGAATATATTTTGTAATAGCAGTGCCATCTACGGTTACACGATAATCATATATAAATATTCTTCTACTTCCATACCAACCTGTAGCACACAGACATATCACACTCAAGTGATCAGTCTACAAAACAATAATCATAATCTGTAACCAAATGCTTTGAGCACTTAATAAACCCAAATCCCAAAAAGCATTTTAGTAACTGAATTAGAGTGAACTACAGTAAGTACTGAGTAGAACTCTGTCAATATGAACCAGTTCCACATTTGTAAGCAACATTATTCAGTACTGGGCTCACAAAGTGGCTAATGAATCAGCGAGCAGGCAAACATTCTTACTTGTTCCCCCAACTGGTGTTTATGCTCGGCCACAGTTTTCTCCAGCTCCGAAATCTTTGTCTGTTGCTGCTGGACGACGCTCCGCAAGTGTTTGATGCAGTTATGGTTGGGCAGCTCATCTTTGGGCATCTCAAGCCTGCAAGAGCGGCGGTGGCGAGAAAATAACAGGAGAGAAAACAGAGGCTTTAACACCTACAATGCAGAGGACAGGTCACACACTGCAAACCATATATTCATAAACAATCTACAGCAAATATTAAATGTAGTATTATTTTTTTTTTTAGGTCATTTTCGGTCACATGGAAGCCACTCACCCACAACCCTCCTCACAGTTGACAGGCCTTTTGGGGTTGTGCTCACAGTCCTTGAGATGTGACTGCAGCTGGTCCAGCCGCAGCGTGGCCGTGCAGCCGAAACCAGCATTGTCACAGCTGATCTGAAGTTTGGACAGCATGTTGCGCATGATGCGGGGCACAGGCCGGAGGTGAGCAAGCGTCACTACCGTGCGGTCGACGGGGCAAATCTGCTGCTGCGCAAACCACTGTGTTATACAGGCGTTGCAGAAGGCATGCTCACAATGTGGAGCCTGAAATGGAGAATGAGAACACAAATCACACTTTTGGAAAAAACGCCGATACAGTTCAGGGCGGGTGATCCTTCAGACGGACGCTTACCTGCACCGGTTCTTCGAGCACTCCGCTACATATAGGGCACAGCAGGTCTTCATCCACCTCCCCTTGGAACCTCGTAACGTCGTACCCCATGGTACATTACTGGGACCCCTCAACCTCCTGATCAACACACAACCATGCAAATTAGGTTTTTCGGACTACTTAACCGAGGTATTTTAGACACACACACAAATACTTTCGGACTACCTCACTCACAAAAGGCCTCAAATGCTCCCATTCAGCTCTTGATGTAGTGCTGGTTCCTCATATCTGGCAGAAACAATCTGTCCGGTGAAAGAGACACAGGCAACCCCTGCAACACAAAAAAATAGATTATCACATGGTTATTTGGTTTCCAAGAGACTACAGGGCAGCTGGTGGTTAGATGAACTTATGTAAAGCCATGTAATGTATGAATGATGAATATAATGCAGTTCATTTGTGATTTTTAAAGCCTCCTCGTCCTAATCAGACACTTTCTACTGGGACAACATTATAAAAAGCTAAAAACGAGCGGAATAACACGTTTTGTGTTTGTATTGAGGCACTGAATGGTAACTGAGCACACAGCCATATTCAGACACACTAAAGAGCCCAGCAGCGACGTGCTTTACGATCATTATCCCCCCCCCCGACTTGTGTGTACCAGCCGAGCTCCAACATCTGAGGAGAGCATCCTGTTGTCCCAGCTGACTGGTGGCTGACCTGATTTCAGTGAAAAGCAGAACATACCGGTCTGGAGGCGATTTACAGCTCCTTTTTTTTTTTTTCCTCCCATCGCACTCAAAACAAGCGAGCCCCTCCGTGCTAACATTAGCGACAGAGTCTGTGTGCGTTGCCCTGAAACACCGCGCTGTCTTCGGGTTCAGTGCGAGGCGAACCGGTGTCGGGTGGAATAAACAGCCCGATGCTGGACTTCAGGTGTGAATTAAAAGGTGGCTAACGCTTGCTGACTGGATCACAGCAGCATCGCCTACGGTTTCCCTCTGGATGTTAGCCACCGAGCTAACCAGACAGACCTCAGTCTGGACAAACTGCACCGACACACGGCGGCTTACAATCAGCCACGTTAGGAGAAAACATTGTAACCGAGTCGTGTACTTACTTGAACACACAGTAAAACAGACCCTAGTGACGATGGTTGGGTATTTTCGGACGTCCTACTGTTGCTAGTAGCTCCCTAGCCACGTCCTGTGCTAACGTTACATCCTACTCTGCTGTCGACGTTACGCGGCGATGACGTTATGAGTACAGGGAGCTTTTGATTGGTCTGTCTGTGCGGTCTGTCTATCTATCATCTATCTATCTATCTGTCTGGTCTGTCGTCCTACCTGCTGTCTGTCTGTCCTGTCTGTCTGTCTGTCTGTCTGTCTATATATCTATCTATCTGTCTATCTGTCTGTCTGTCTATCATTATCTATCTAAATCTATTCTTATCTATCTATCTTATGCTATCTATCTATCTATCTGTCCTGTCTGCGCTATCTATCTAATCTATCTATCTACTATCTATCTATCTGATCTAATCTATCTATTAGTCTGTCTGTCTGTCTGTCTGTCTGTCCTGTCTTGTCTGTCTAATATATCATCTAGTTGTCCTAATATGTCTGCCTAAATCTATCTTATCTATCTATCAGTCTATCTATCTAGGTCTGATCTATCTATCTAATCTATCTGTCTGTCTGCTGTCCTGTCTGTCTATCTGTCCTGTCTATATTTTAGGCCACGTTTGAAGTAAATGTATTTGTAATGTGTATTTCTTCTTAAAACATGTGGTAAAATGGATTTATTTTTAGGAGACCCATGTGAAACAGCAGCATGTTAGCACTGAAACTTATGCTGCCATGGGCACCGTAAAGGAGACAAGCAGTATACGAGCCATGATGAGCTTGTGAATATGCTGTTTCTCCATTGTGAAAGATGTGCATTTTTAGATTAAATACATTCCAGTGTCAGGTTTTGCCCGGATACCGAACAACCGCCTGAGATTCCTCTTTCGCGCCAATGCCACTGTTGCATTCCTCCTGTAGTGAGGTGAAGGTAAAGCAGGAAGGAAATAAACCAGGCCCAGGCCCAGCATGCCAGACGGTACACTGCACGCAGAGTGTGAGAATAAGAAGAGAGCTGGACCTGAAAATAGAGTCATCACTCGCCTAACAGTGTGATCGGCATGTTGCAACACCCCCCGCAAAAAAAATTTCATCAGCATTGCAACAATTACTCTTAACGAGACCATTTGGTTGTGTTAAACTGAAATCCAGCCCAGGGCAGTAGGCAGTGTGAGCACAGTTAATGCACAATGGCTACTGCAAGTAATTTATAGTTTTCTTTTTTTGTGTTGCCACAGTATGTAGTTCAACCATGTCAACCATGTTCTTTAATCCAAATATGGGATTTTACACTTGAATAGAAGGTTCATTCATTGTACTATAAAATATTATTTTCATGTTCTAGAGTGTAGTTCAAGTATTTCATTCGCTCCCCCCTCTTGAGCAGGGCATTTAATGTTCACAAGGTGTCTGAGAAATACTAACAGTTTGTTTTACCAGCTGAGATGCCTTGTACATTCATTTCCTAGTAGATTTAGTTTGGGCAGGGAGAGAGAGGCCATTGGTGCTGCCCAACCTTCTCAAGAGTGGTTTGGACGCCTTACCACCCTCTCCCCCAGTTGCAGGTCAGCAGGACATTGGTAAAGGTGTAGACTTCAAACTGTTCTGGACGATGTAATTTTGACACAGTAAGCTCAATACCCCTTGAAAGTAAACCAATTTATTGTCCTGAAACACCAACAGTGCTTCAAACCCTTTCCTTCAGTACCAAGTCCAATCGAAAGTTCTTTTCTTGCTTCATCATCTTCATGCAGTTCCTCATTTCAATCAAGATAACACTTAGATGTGAAACCAAAGAACGCTCATTCAGAAGAAGCATTTTCAGCGATTTAAATGAAGACCTTGACTCAAACTCTTCTTTTAGATAAAGGAAAGTTTCTAAAGCTTCATGCAGCTTTTAGTTCAGGATAAAACATGTGAAAATGAAACCCTGAACAAGTGCTTTATCAAGAGAAATAACTCCAGACTCAGGAAATATTTCAGCATGTAGCAACTTTATTAGAACACAAACAACCCTTAATGTCCACAAATAGCTGAATGACAAGAGCAAGTTGGCTGCAGCAAAGCATTTTATAGAAATAGATTCAGGTTTAATGTCAAGCTAAATATGTTTTTTTTTTTCTTTTAAACTCCAAGAAAGTACAGATGCAGGTTTTTCAAAAAAACAGTGAATGATCTTTTACTATATTTAGACATTATTGGGTAACAATTTAATCATTCACATGTTCACCACCAAAGGAAATAAGCAAAGGCAAGTGGTTTCAGAGATTGATTGTCGAAAAACAGAACCAGAAAAATGAATGGCTTGAGGTTTAGGTGAGACAGTGGGTGGGTGACGGGGAGCGGGGTGGTCCTGTCCTGGATTAGCCATGGTGGTGGAGGGGGCAGTGGATGGGTGGGGGGCCCTGGTCAGAAAACCTCAAACCTTTCACCTTGTCCTGTACCCCTTGTAGTCAAACTGGATGTAAAATGTCAGGGCAGTGTGGAGACAGACGCTTAAAATCTAGCAGAATTTGGTTCGCAGTGGACAAATGGATTCAAAGGCATACGGCTAGAGGGGCTCAAACTCGCCCTCGTACAGAATTACAAATCCACCTCACTATCTTCCTCGTGACAACCTGTGGTATCATTACAACTGCAGGGCAATCGATGGCTGACCCAGAATGAAGCTGTAAACGTTGAAATAATGTACACTATAGGGCTAGACAGGGAAGTATACGCACAGAGGAAACCAAAGAAATACATGGTGTTAAAATGAAAAAAAAAAAAAAAGCCAATGCATGGTTATTTATTTTTCAAGAAGAGGAATCCTCTGACCATTCGCCACTGAATGTTAAAGGGGATAGACTATCATCATAATCTGCATCATAACATTGTCTGGCTTCACATTCCAGTGGTATTTTGTCGTATAAATGCTTCTCATAAATATTTTTTTTTCCAACGTCAAATAGACATATACACATACAGCACAACCAAGCACACTTTTTATGTATAACTACCATTGCTTATGATAAATCTGTATTCCCGTACTGTGAATAGACTTTTTTTTTTTGTCAGAACAGGTGGAGAGACAAAAACAATACTCAAGGCTGCAAAACAAGGAGGTAGGAGAAATGCTACTGAAAAACAGCAAGTGATGCTAACATGATCGTTCACTTAAAATAATAGCGAGAAACACCAGGCTTCGGCTCGACTTCTTGAACCATGCTAGTGCCGACAGTTGCTATTCCAGTCGGCATTTCAGGAGCGGTTGCGTAACAACTGTAGCGTTGAAATTTTCCCCTTCATTTTTTTTTAAAATAATGTAATGTGCAATATTGATTTGACCACCAAATTAAAAAAACATCCCAGAAACAAAAATCTCAAAACTGTATCTCTCCTGATTGCTCCAGATGCAGACTGGTGTAGCAGCTGTGGTGATTTACTAACTGAAGAAATCTTAGAGGCCCATTCTGCCTTACAAAAAAATAATAATAATAATTTGAATAGTGTCTTAAACCCTATATTTCCCGACTGGTCATATTCTAAAATTGGCTAACTTCATTGGTCCTGTTGTCATCACAGGTCTAGAGACCACGCTGCTGGTGATGGCATTGACTCCTTTACACACAGTAGAATAGTATATTTGCAGATTTTGTAAATGAGGTAATCAGCGTTAGGCTAAATAGGGAACCCTGTCATTGACACACATGCCCACTTCATTCACCAGCAAAAAAGCAAAAAGATTTCCTCAATCAGTGGGACAGGACTGTGGAAAATGAAATCAACTTTGGAATGTTGGGTGGACGAGCCAACTTCTTTTTGTGTGTGTGTGTGAAGGTGCACTGTGAAACTATTTGATTGTAACTCATCACATGCCCTGATTCAGAGTCCTTCCACTCATAATAAGGGCTCCTTTGTATTTCACCTTAGATAAGCCACTCAATGTAAAAACAGGCAACCCATTATCAATCACTTTTCTTCTTTTGAATTTGTCATGAATTAAGGCTGCCTCAGCAGCAGATCAATGCCTGCTTCAAGTCCAGTTGTGAGAGGATTGTTAATAGCTTGTGAGTTGCAATGAGTTGGCAACATCTACAGTGAAGCGGACTACAAACAAAAACATGAAAAGGGACTACCACTACTAAAAATGTCACAGAACATGCAGTATACATCCTTTCCTACAGTAGGCTATTCCTAATAGCACATTCAAGGGGGCTCCTAATGGGCAAATTCTCTGATATGGCTCTGCTTTAGAGTAATCAAGCTCGGTAGTGAGACTATTTCCATCGTGGGCTCACAGAAGGAGCAAGTCGATAAGGTGCTCCATCAGAAGATTGCTGCCTTATTTCACCTGCACAAATACTTTGTGTCATTCAGTTCAACAGGTTCAACAGTAAACACTGGAAAGTGTTTCGAACATTTGTTTTCCTTCGTGTAAATACATTTCAGCCCCCACCCCAAAGACGCATCCTCTGCTGGTGAAAACAAACGGCACTTTCAAGGGGAATGTTTCTCTAAAATCACAATCACAGGACCTCCAAGTAACAAATTCTGAAAACACATAGGCTATACAGTAGATATAAATCTCATGAGTTTCTTAACTGTACAAGCTTTAGGCTACACGCTGAAAAGGGAGGGACACGTAGAACCCTTAATGCTTAACATTGAAAACAAATATAAGGCATTTCATATTTCCTTTTATCCGCATACATCACTGACAGCAGGTCTAAATATTTTTGAGAAAACATTTCATTCAAGGAGGAAGAGGATGCATATACACATCTACACATGCAAATGAACCTGTCTACCGGCTAATAAACCAGAAGTCCAAACTACAATACTATCAAAGTCCATCCATAAAAATAAAAAAAAAAAAGAAATAAAAAAAGCACCTACTCATATCTACCAGTCAACTTGTGCACAGTCCTTTCTCTGAGCAGGCAGCTTTTAAAGTTGGACATTGATCACAGTTTTAAGAATGGAATATCACTCCACTATCAAATGCCACCTCTCTGAATACAAACAAGAGGACCACTTGAAATCCTTCATTTGCTACAGACGAGTGACTTTTGGTGTTAACAGAAAGGGCATATTAAATAATTTTTTTTTTCTCAACTGAGGAAGCAATGATAAACAAAAGGTTATTGCACTTTTTATCTTTTGTCTATTTCAAACGAGGTCAGCTTTAGAGAAGATGATTCATGCCTTAATGTCGTGGCAAGACAACAAATGTTACGTCACTTCTATAAGTATAATCACACTGTTATTAACACTGCACACAGCTACTACTGCAACCCTACTTGTAGTCAGTCTACCCTAAATAAACACAAAACAATCTCTACAATCAATTTGCAACACAGTCACAACAGCTTGCCTAAACTTGATCTTGAGCGCAGGTACCGCATCGTTTCACAACTTGGTTTGTATTGTGAAGTTACTAATTGTCGATGAATAGAGTTGAGAAGAACAGTCAGAAGAAGCTCTGAAACTCCACCACGATGGTCTTTCTACAGTTGGTGTGTTACTGACAATCGAAACCTCATGTTTTCTGCACTCAGAGGAGTCGGGTGTCTTTTTTCCTCTCATCTTTGCCTAAATTTGGTCTATAGGCTCTTTTCACTCCTTGGTGTTTGGAGAGCCAACTGAGCCCCGAGGTGCCTTCTTTGGATTTGTGCTTTCATACTATTGATCCCCCCTCCATTCAATGTTTGATGTGCCCTAAATCGCATCAGTAATGTGCAATTTATTCTGCCACCCAAAAGGGAGCACTCAGTCACCGCAAATGCATAATGAAATCCGGACTAATACAGGAAGAGTTTTTCAGGCTTTTTTTTTTTTTTTCCTTGTAACTCAGATCACATAGGGTTGAAATAATCACGCTCAGAGGGAATATGAGCCTATCCACTGTAGTTGTGTATGTTCAGTGTAATTTCTTTTTCCCATTATAAGGCTTCTGGGAAATACAAATGGAAGACCGTACCTTTCGGTAGTAACAAATAAAAGGCACCATGCCACCACTGTGCTCGATATTACACAGGTCCTATTGGTGGGTGGGGGGGATTAATAACCAAGTGTTCAGGCAGGGAAGGTGGTCAAACTAGCATTAGTCATACAGTAAAATTGTATTGTTTTGACTTACAGAGGTAAAGTTTTATAGCTACCTTCATTCCCCACCTTATATTAGACTGTACCCTTTACCCTATATGACCTGCACTTGATAACAGACTCATCTGTTGGTTGCAATGAAGAGAAACATGTTGAATCATGGTAACTATGCTTTTTCTGTTCTAAAAAAAGGGACTTGTGCATGTTTTTAGGTTCGACATGCATATATTGAAAAGTCACTCACACACTATAAGAGAAATCTACACGACTGGCATCAGGAAAAAACGAGAAGAAATCACAGAGGATAAATGTCAGCGTCATCACACAAAATTTCACTGATGAGGTAAAACTGCAGGTCCAATAAAAAGTACAAGGTGCAGTTCGCTGCCCCTTTGTAAGGTAGGAAACATGAGACATCTGCCGACACTAATCTAACACTTCCGCATAGATACATCTCTGATTTAGGCTGGTTTAAGCAGAATTACACTACCCACGACAAGATGGATCACAAAATTTTTTAACTCTTTGTTAGCATAGCTGTACAAGCATTTTTCATAAGAATTTCCTTTCCATCAATATTTTTTTTTTGAGGTACACCACTTTTATCCCCAGTGTCCTTTGGCTCTGGATGACAGAGAAGCCAAAGTTGATTGTTTACGAGTGAATTCTGAATTCATTCATTCACAGTGGCAAATATGGCGATATCCTAACCTCTCAGAACAATCTCTGCACCATGGCAACCTTGAGCTATGTGCTACCTCAATTGATTTGTGTGCTTCTCGACACCCAAAGATGTCTGTAAGACCAAAATTAGCCAAGAATTTTTTATTCATTTATTTTTAGCAATCCAACCAAGTAGCATAACTCTACAGGTGATGCAACTTATCAGGTACTGCCAGGTATCATTTCCTTTTTCAGCTTTTAAGGCAAAAGGCTCAACAGTGGATCAGAGAGTTGAATTGAAATTTGCCATTTACTTCAAGTAAGAACCGAGACATCCATTGAGGCAAATCAATTCTATATTGTATATACCAAGCTTTTTTTTGGACATCAAAAATGTTTTTTTTTCCTGGTAACACACATTATAAACCATCTTGTTAAATAAACACACAACCTAGGGATTGCTTTGCCAATACCAAAGGGACTAACTATATTCTTCAAAAATGTCCAATTATACAACAGACTTCTACCGACACCAAATTTTAAACAGAATACTTGCATTTAAGTACTAATATCCCATGCAAATATTTATATAGTTTTTCTTTGACTAATATAATTGGTGAAAACACATGCAGCTCCAAACACAAAACTGTAATAATCCGGCCTACTTCTGAATAAGTTACTGACCAAGTAAGTATGATTTATGTCTAAAGGCAAATAAAGGTTTCTATGGCACTAAATGGGTGTAGCTTAGGTGCATTTCTGTCAAATATAGGCTATTTACGAGTATGTGTGATCATATCTACTGTAGACCTTTTCGTCCCTCTTGTTTTACTGTACTGTAAGGCAATCTCAATGGAATGGATGAACATGAATGTTAAATTCATCTGAACTCTTGTCCTCTGTTTACCTTGTAGGCTACACTCCACACAAATATATATGTATAGAGAAAGAAGAGCGATATTACACAACAGCAGGCCTATACTCCAACAATAATGCCAAGAACAAAACCTATCCAGACCCTCAATGCAGGAAGACTACTACACATACTGTATAATATGTAGAGAATTAGTTATTACATGCTACCTGTATAATCATATCTACGCAAGACAAATGAAGAGCAACAGTTTAAAGTCGGGAGAAAGCAAGTTGTCCTGCTCTAAACTGACCCTACATTCATTTCAGTCAGAAAATTCATGGCTCAGATTTGATGGTCAGACTGTAAACTGCTTGAACATATGCATAAATCCATTGCTGCTTTACTAAGGTTTTCCTCTCTCGACACATTTTGGCAAAACAGGCCTTATTTGTGACCAAAGATTATAACATCTAACCCGCATTTAAATCTTCCATTGGCATTTATGCTATGATTTACTGAATTGGCCTAAATGGATGGCAGTGCAATATTTGTGCTGCACACGATTACATACACTCTCTATTGCTACAATTGGACCTTTCATTGCTTTCCGTTTCTGACACCAGATATATTGTATATGCTCCACTTGTTCAACCGTTACTATATCAAAATTGTGATCTAGCTCCATGCACAATCACTCAGTTATCACTGGTACACACAAATAAAAAAAGCATGTATAAGAATACTGTGATACAACAAAAGGATTCAGTTGCAACTTGTATAGTTGCAGGGGCAATGGCTCCATTTACTGGTCAGATAAGGACATCACAAGAGAAAAAAATCCCTGCCCAAACAGACAGCACCTGCAGATGGCAGAGAGAGTATGTAGAGTATTTTGAGGAGTCTGCCTGAGGTGTCTGTTGAATCACTGGACTGACTTTAAGTGACTTAGGCCAAAGTCTGTATTATTAACAGTAGGCTGGGTAATGTAACCTTGTCACTTTTTTTTTGGGCTGGTTGCCCAGAAATAGATAACACAAAGAAAGTCAGCGGGCAGTGGACACTGTCCCAAAGTACTTAGAGACACTTTTTTTTTTTAAGTAATGCATTGTTAGAGTACAATTTTGTTGCAGCCTTTGCTTGTCTTTTGCAACCCTACCTTCCTGTATTCAGCAGCAACACACATGCATGTAAACATAAGTACATACATTACATCTGCTCTATTTTGCACACTTAGAACCTGAATGTACTAAAGTGCGTGCTTGACTATCTAATTAAGTGCTGTGGGATTAGGGTTAAAAAGGAATTAAATTACGGAACATCCCATCAAACAAAAATGTAGACATAATCATCCTGCTGAGATCTGATTGGATTAATAAATTCTGCCCGCTGCTTCAGCACAGGTCCTGAGATTACAAAACAAATTATGTACCTATCCCTAATATTAATAATAATAATAATAATAATAATAATAATAATAATAATAATATAACTTCTCGTAGAAATGATAAATTGATCAAGGGAACAAAGGCTGGGGGTCACAAATTAGATCCATTTCATTTCAATCAATAATGGAGGTCAATTGAAATGCCAACTACAAATCTACAACACTAACTCTGAGAAATTACTGCTCTGAAATGGACTTAGTCAGTTTTAGAAAATCAAGTAAAATACACTAAAGACTTTTTCGCGGGGGTATTTAACAACATAGCCTAGTCTAGGTCCTCATCTCTCATCCAGTCAACTAATGTGTGCAATTGTGCCACTTCATTACCAGTGGATATGAAGTTATCACATCAATGAAAACAATCTGACTCAGTGTAATTTAACCACCAGCAGATGGTCTTGAAAAAAAAAAAAAAAAAATAACCCAAAACAAAAACAAAAAACGACAAAATAGCATAGATATAACATCTAAAAGTCACAAACAGCTCTAGTGGTCCGATACAATCATCTTTAGTATGCTTAGTACCAGAAATGGGATGAGGAGACAACAAAATGAACACCAAAAAAGCACATATTTGGATTTCTGCTATTCCTGAAATCTAAACAACAGGTATTGGCCTAAGCAAAGATCCCTCTCATTTTCCTCTTAGCCCTATTTTCTTCTATAAGGGATATCAGCTCCCTGGTCATTGATAATGCCGGGGCATATAAAGATATGCCGGGCAATTTGTTTTCCACTAGATAATATGGTGCAACTGTGGTTCAATGCTGTTGCTATCAAATGGGTGGAAAGTTAATCAGTCTCAGGGCTCATCATACTCTGCCATTACGCAATCCAACTGAAATGATGTGTTACGGAAGGCATGGGTCAAAAGGCATTTCATGAGATGCCATAAAGGCAATCCAGTGCATTTGTGTTGACACTGACAGTAAAATGCCCGGCACACACAGAGCCATTCGTTTAGTCTTTAGGTAATTTTTCATGAAACAATAAAAACGCAAAAAAAAAAAAAAAAAGAAGAAAGAAAAATCAAACACATTCCAGGGAAACAAAAGCCCTTGTGACAGTGATTGTCTATTCAATAATGTTAAACAAAAAGGCCAAAAGAAAATATTGCTTGAAAACTGCCCAATAAAAATAGCAGACAATACTCTTTATCTGTTCAAATTGATCAGAGCTGACCACCGAGAAGTTGAGATATGAGCTATTATTTGTTTAAGACTAGTTTACCAGCTCCACAAAATACTCCTTTAGTGAGAGCTTGTTAAAACCACAATGCTTAATGGCCAGTTCAACTTCAAAAAACACAAAAGAAAAAACGTCATGAGTGCCTAAAAACCAAAACTGATTGCTCTCTTTCGATAATTAGGCCATTCAAATTCGGAAATCTTTTCCAAAAAACACTGTTAAAGAGATGGGAAATAAATTGAAATGGCTTGTTCATTTATGTGCTCAGATATATGACGCTTTGATGAGGTGTTGTTGGCAGATATTACTAGTAAAGCCTTCATCTAGAAATAAACAAGGCCTCAGTCAGTCACTATCCTACAGTAGTTCTCTAGTCCTACAAAAAGAGAACATTAGGCCTACGGACCCTGGGTGAAGATGAAGCAGCTGCTAAACGAGTTGACGAGGTATATCAAGATCTATTGTCTTTCTCTATACAGTACAGTTCATCTCAAATAAATAATTTATAGCCATAATAGTGTTGATCAACTTTGGTCATAAGTTATATGCTTAGAAACATTCTAGCTTAACAAACACTTATTTAGCATCTTTAAAACATGAAGTCAGCATTAAGAACAAATCGATGTTACAGCGCTGACCTGAAACATGGCTCTCCTTTGGAAGGAGACATGCTAATGTATTCAGCAGCATTACCAAATTATCTTAAAATGCCAAACAATTCTAGGCCGTACATTTAAAGTACACTATGGAATTAACATCTTTGTGACCCTTTTCCAAATTTTCGGATTGTACTGTAGTACACAAGCATTGCACTCTTAAGCAAAATTTAGATTTTTCCCTTGTGTGGTTCCTTCATAAAAATCTAGGCTAACGGACAATTAAAACAAAAACAAAAAAGAAAGAAAAAAATAAATCAAAAAACAAACAAAGAAACTCTTTGATCATTCTTTTGGGAAGGCTGTATGTTCCTCTACAAGGTCACCACAACGGATTAAACATGATATGACTTTTATACTGAATGATATGAAGAGAAAGACAGTCGAGGATACAGCGATTTCCATGCTCTTAGATGTCGGTTATATAATTGTCTCAACATGGTTTTAAAGGGTTAAATGATTTAGAGATGGCCAGATTGCTAGTGTTTGTTTTGGATGCCACACTTTATCTGAGTGACCTTGTAGAGCAATCCGCCCCTACATATTAAGCACTACTAGGAGATGGAGGAATGGGATCTAATTGCATATTAGGTTTGACTGCACCTCAAGAGAAGACCAAACACTCACGCACACACAGACACACAAACACATACATACACAGAACAGACATGTGGGTGGGTGCTCTCCTGGTCCTCGGGGCCATGTTAAAGGGAGTCCCCCCCTGGTGGTGATGATGGTGATAGCAGCTGACTGAGGGGGGCACGTGACCTCACTCAGACAGACACCCATCCAGGCCGACCGGTGCACCGTGACGGTCTTTGACGTAGCCGTTGTGGAGGCCGTTGCTGGGCAGGGGGGCGCAGGTGGCGGTGATGCCGCAGTGCTTCAGCAAGTTGAGACCCGGGGAGGGGGAGACGGTGGGAGAGGAGCAGGAGCAGGAGGAAGGGTCCCGCTGGGGGAAAGGCTTCATGGTAGAGAGGATCAGAGCCAGGCAGTCAGCCACGTCCTTGTTAGGAGCACAGGCCAGAGCTGGGGTGTGGCCTGATTGACAGATAAACTCAAATTAGTGCATATATACAACAACACGTGACAGTGAATTATGTCCCAAATCTCCAGCTTCCATCAGTTCAATGGAGCATTTTAGCATCTTTTTTTAACTAATTTGTTTTGCATTTTTGTTTGCTGCTATTCTGCTCTTGATCGTGTCGTGTTCATGACGCCAAAGTGTCGTCAGTCTTGGTATTCTCCTGTTATATAATATATAATTAATATTCGCTCTCAGACAGTAAACCCATTCTTGGTTTTTGTATTTCTCTTATTGTTCTATCTTGCTTTCACCTCGCCCATTTTTATGTGTAGGATATGTCTGTAGTGTGACTGTGTGTGTTAGCAGGAGCAGTGTCTCTAGCGTCATTTAGAGAGTTCAGGTTTGAGCTCGAGGAGGTGTGTGTAGAGAGGGGTTAGAATGTGTGTTGTTTCTAGCAGAGCCATCTATTGTCTTTCAGTTGCCTTTTATTTTTTGTTTTATTGTATTTGTTAGTCGCGTTTGTAATCCAAGTCACCTCTGAAACTCATACAAAGTTAGACATTCTCTGTTATTGTTGTTGTGTTTTAGATCATGTTTTGTTGTGTTTATGGCTAACAAAATTCTTGTTTTTTGTCGTTTGCGTGGCCCTGGGGTGTGTCTGTTGTCTGTCGCTGTCGCGCCTCACGCCGCGCACATGGCTGTGTGTCGCTCTGGCTGCAGCGGGCGTGCCACGCACCGGTAGCAGCCGTAGTGCTGCAAAGTGGTGTTGAGGGAACAGTGGTTGTGGCTGTGCGACAGTGGCAAGAGCTAGAGCGAGTGCGGGACGTGAGCAACGTGAAGAATACTTTTTAATGCCTTTTGATTTTATAATCAAAAAATTATATTTTGAGCCTCGCACACAGGAGTGATGACATCTTTTTATAATATCTATATTTATGTATCTCTCATCGTTATTCATTCTATAATATTATGGATCTTAACATCTGACCACGGTCTCTCGATTGTGTCACAAATTTGTAAATTATGCATCTGGCCATCCTCATTTCTTGGCAACTCGTATTCTCTTTTGGTTATGACGCTCGGCTGGGGTCGAGTGGGATCTCTCCAAGGAAAAGACAAGCAGTGCACAACACTCTACATTGAGAGGTGGAGCATGGACGCTAATAAAACTAGACTGTAAAATAGGACACTTCTGAGAAATATAGACACTTTAATTACTATGAAGATCTCAGCTGTCAGGATTCATCTACACGATGCCACTCTCCTGCAAGCGTTCAGGTGACTATAGAGCTCTATTGTTGGTGTGGAGACATAGCGCGCGCTGTGC